TTCACTAGCTATTAGGGAAATGCAAATCAAAACTACAATGGGATATCACCTCATACATGTTAGAATGGCAATTATCAACAAGACATGTAATGACAGTACTGGAGAGGTTGTGGAGAAAAGGGAACCCTCATTCACTGCTGGTGGGAATGTAAATTGGTACAGTGGCTGTGGAAAACAGTCTGGCAGTGCCTCAAAAAATTAAGAATAGAGTTACCATATGACCCAGCAATTCCTCTCTAAAAGATGTATTTACAAAAATATATGCACCCTTACATTCCTTGCAGAACTATTCACAGTGACCAAGGCATGGAAACAACTGAAGTGTCCTTCAATCGATGATTGGATAAAGACGATGTAGTACATATATACAATGGAATACTACTCAGCCATAAAAAAAGACAAAATACTACCATTTGTGACAACTTGGACCTCGAGAATATTATGCTAAATGAAACAAGTCAGTCAGAAAAAGCTAAGAACCACCATGACTTCACTCATATGTGGGATATAAAACTGAAACACATGGACACAGACAACAATGTGGTGATTACCAGAGGAAAGGGTGGGGTAGGGTGGTTGGAGTTGGAGGGGGCCTGATATATGGTAAAGGAAGATAGTTTGACTTTGAGTGGTGGGCACATAGTGAAAATATACAGATTTTGTATCATAGAAATGTACACTTGAAACCGACATAATCCTATTAATCAATGTCACTCCAGTAAATTTAATTAAAAAACAAAAAACAAATAGACACAGACAACAGGATGGTGATTAGCAGAGGGAAAGGAGAGTGGGGGGAGGTAGAAGACTGTAAAGGGGGGACAAATGGTGATGGTAGGAGACTTGGCTTGGGGTGATGAACACACAACACAATATACAGATGATGTATTATAAAATTGTACACCTGAAACTTATATAAATGTATTAACCAAAGTCACTGTAATAATTTTTTAAAAATAACATAAAGCAAAGGAGGCGAGAAGGGCTTTGAAGGCAAGCGAAAGGAGCTTGGGCTTTAGCTGGTCGATGGACACAAAGCCATATATCATTCCAAAAGTATTAAAGAGTAGCAATCTCTCCTGTAATACGTTTTATTTTTTGTCAATACTCAAGGAGGAGAAAATTTTTTCCATTGATTTTTAGGGAGAGTGGGAGGGAGGGGGAGAGAGAGAAATATGGTGTGAGAGAGACACATGAATTCGTTCCACACGCAGGTATAGAATTTACAATCCAGGTACCTGCCCTTGACTGGAAATTGAACCTGCGGACACTTTGGTACGTGGTCAGGCGCTCTAACCACTAGCAACAACAGCCAGGGCGCTGTAACATTTTGTGTGGCCATCCCGCTCTAGTTTCGGTTCATCGGAGCAGGCCCCCTAGATACTTATTGAACGCAAATGGTGTGATTCTTATGGTCTTCCCGCTCCCTGGTCTCTGCCGCTAATTCCAGGTCTCCGAGGAAAGGGAGGTCGTGCTTAAGGCCGGGCACAACTGAGATTCCCAGCCACCAAGCCGATTTAGAGCTAAGGGGGGCGGGCCTTGGCGGGGAGGAAGTGTGCTGCGCAGTTTGACCCCGGCAGCGTTCCGTAGGATGTGGATTCCGCGGCGGGAATATGGCGGCTGTGGAAGTGCCGCATCGGAGTAAGTTTCCAAACAGACGGTCCTGTCCTAGCGCCTGCGGCCTCCGGCCCTCGACCCTCCTCCGCCCCTGTTTGGAGTCGCAGGCACAGCCCCTAGGGTCTTCCCTTTACTATGTAGACCCCGCGCTGATTCTGAGAGTTGAGAGAGCTTTGATGGCACCGGCCCAGTCAGGTAGGGTAAACAGCGAGCCTGTAAAACCTGGGCACAGACAATTAGCTCCGCTCTGCGGGCTTTCCCGGGCTAGAGTGGGGATACCTGCCCAGAGAGAAGTTGATGGTGGGGGGAGGGGGCGAGGTGGAGGATGGAAGGTAATATCACCCAACCTTTCCCCACTCAGCTGGGCTCCCAGTTGTCATTGCCTTCTCTCAAAGCAGAGGGGTGGTTGTGAACTGCCAGGCTCCTCTCATGTCTTGCTAGAAGGAAGCGGAATGCAGGAAGAATTGCCATTGCTGGCCTATTGCTGAGGGATTTAATAATCAAGGTGCCATTCTCCTTTTATGAAATGGGCCTAAAAAGTTATATGAATTCACAGAACCAAAGCACTGGAATTCCCGGACCCTGGCCGCTCTATATGGTGTTGAAGCTTCTGACACTTCCCCTAGATGGAACAGAAATAGTTTCTGAATTGAAGGACAAATCTGGAGAATGGTAAACGCAGCTTCTTGGCACAAATGGCATGCCTATATTATCTGGCCTTCCCTTTCCTACTTTCCTGTTAATTAATAACTGGGTTATTACAGTGATATTATGAGGACTGAGGTGGGGCAAGGAGAAGGGAAGGGAGTGTACCTGGAGAGGGAATCGCATTGAAAAAATTGAAAGATCAATATGGCTGGAATACAAAGTTCAAGAGGAAGTTCACAAGACAGGAGAGTTATTCACGTCCAATGTGGAGAGCCTTATAAGGCATTTTAAGGAGTTTAGACTTGATTACTAAGAGTGATGGGAAACCATTGGAGTGTTTTACATAGCAGAGTGATGTGGCAAATTTTGGTTTTAAAAAGGACATTTCTTGGAGAAAAGAGCAAGAGTGGATACAGGTCAAATATGAGATGACGGTGACCAAAACTGAGACTGCGACCTTGGAAAGAAGTAGAAACATTTAAGAGATGTGCGGGAAGAATAGTAGTCAGTACTCAGCAAGGATAAAATATAGGTGGTGAAGGAGAGGAAGCTTAGAGTAGTATATGGTTTTTATGAAACAGACTCAGGACATTAATTTTTCCCATGTGCAGACTGACTCTTCTGTGCTCCATTTTTATCTGCCTCTCAAGTAATTCTCCAGTGATGGCTGACCTTTTGGAAAGGATTGTAATACTCTGTTGTTTTATTCTCTGATTGAGGCTAATTGTCATTTGAAGAACGTCAGAATGGGGGGAAAGACTTTTGTAAATTAGCCACTTAAAAGTAATTGTCTGCCGCCTGGCTGGTGTGGCTCAGTGGTTGAGCATCGACCCATACACCAAGAGGTCACCAGTTTGATTCCTGGTCAGGGCACATGCCCAGGTTGTGGGCCAAGTTCCCAGTGGGAAGCATGCAGGAGGTGGCTAATCAATGTTCTCTCTTATCATTTCTGTCTCTCCCTCTTCTTCCTCTCTCTCTCTAAAAAGAAAGAAAGAAAGAAAGAAAGAAAGAAAGAAAGAAAGAAAGAAAGAAAGAAGAAAGAAAGAGAGAGAGAGAAAAGAAAGAAAGAAAAGAAAGGAAGGAAGGGAGGGAGGGAAGGAGGAAGGAAGGAAGGAAGAAAGAAAAAGAAAGAAAGAAGTAATAGTCTGCCATGTTGATTTTGGTCCATAAGAGTGGCTGCATGTATTCCATTATATCAATGTGCTGTACTTTATTTACATGTTTACATTTACTTTTTTCCTAGATATTTACTTCTATTAACAATGCAGAACTGAGCTAGAGCTTTTATTTCTATCAGGTAGATGAATATATATGTATACTTAGGGGGAGGCCATAATTGAAGACAATGAAATAGATAAGATTGCTCATAGGAAATACGCAGTAGGAGAAAAGCCTAGGCTTGGAATTGAACGTATGAAGGTTGGATTGAGAATGAATAGCCTGCAAAGAGACTGAGTAGGAGAGATCAGTAGGTAAGGAAGAAAGTCTAGAAACTGGTCTTTGGAAACTAAAGGGAGGGTGGGTTTCAGAAGGTGAGGTCAACAGTGTTAAACTTTGTTCAAAGAATGTACAGCATAATGAGTGAAAAGTGCCCATTGGATTTCTCAACCAAAGAAGCATCAAACCTGTAGAGAATTTTTGTGAGTTTATTTGAGCCAAACTGTCAACATCTTGTGGGAAGCAAAATCTTAAAGGACTGAGGAAATGCTCCAGAGGATGGCAGTTTTGCACCTTATGTTATACATTATGATCCAAAGAAAAGATATAAGTGGGTTACATGAAATCCATTGGTAATAGATTAGGGAGATGGGAGAAAGCAAAGTGGGGAAACCTCTGAAATTGGATAAAAAGTAAAATGATAGACATACTCCTTTTACATAGATAGGTACCGGATACTTAACAGTCATCAGTTAACTCAGTACAATGAGGGGATTTGTGGTCTCCACTCTGGTGCAGTACCTGTGCTTTGGGGAGTCTGGAAAAGAACATTACTTTGACATTTCAAAGTATGTTATGGTAGATGCAAAAAGAAAATAGACAGGCTTAATTAAAGTGAAAATTGACCTTTGTCAAGGAAGATTCTAGCCTAGGACATGACTATCGACCATAAACTGATTTTATTTAAAAAGTTTTAATTTCAGACCATCCTCTGTGGTTATTTTAGGTATCTGAGTCTATAAGGCCACATACAGGCCTACCCTGAACTTGTCAAGTTTAGTATATGGCTCCTATTCCTTCACAGATTTAGGAATTTACTGGCCATTTCAGTACTTGGCAGAACAATTTATTGTTATGCAATGGGAACCACAGTTTAGAGGTATGAAAAGTGAAGCAATCAAATATTAGCTGTCAAAGGTACAGAAGATTGAACTTGGAAGAGGAGATGGGGATGAATGAGGATTGTTTTTGTTTTGTTGTTTCTGGTTTTTTTTGGGGGGGGGAGTTGTTTCTGAAAAGAGCTTTGCAAATTTTTAAGTTCTAATGAATAATGAATAAGAGAAGAGATAGGAGAACGTGAGAAGTTCTGAAAGAGGCAGAGGGGAAGAGGTACATAGTATGTCTGAGAGATTTAGCCTCAGATAGGGAAAGGACACCCTTCTTTTGTTGTATGAGCAGATGCAGGTAGAGGAGGGTTTGTGGTTTTGGAAACATAAGTGAACTCCCTTATTATTCTGTTGGTGGCAAAGTCATCTGGTGAGAATGCAGTGGTGTCAGAGATTGAGGATAGGGAAGAGAGGTTTGGATAATCACATAAGAGAGAGTATTGACCAGGGAAACACAGAAGGGTGTCTGTGGTTGAATGACAACCACTTAGCCTAGTGTGTGATTTTTTTTGTTTTTTTTGTCTCCAGCAGTGTTCAGTCATTTGACCTCACACTGTACCATCAACCCTTTGAAGACATATATTCCAATATATCTGCTGAATGATTGTACAACACACAAAAGTAATGTTAAAAAAATGCAATGATCTCTATATTTTATCAATTTCTCATACTTAAATAAAAGATAAAACCAAAATTTTATTCATTAGTTAAACAAAATACCAATAGAAGATATTTTCTGTAGAGGTGTGTGGTACCTTAAGTAAGGAATTACTGAATGAAAACGTGATTATTGAATGAAAATCAGTTACACTTAATTAAATAGATTTAGCAGTAAAAAATCTACTTGTTGAACATGTAGAATTAGAATTAGTAATAATACTTGGAACCTTGCAGACACCCTAAGGCGGTCACCTTAAGGAGTGACATTCTTCTCCTGACAAATGGGTAATTAAGGGTTCATTCCAGGTTATCTCATGTTTCTGTTGGGTCTGTTTTTAGTGTCCTGCTATTAAGAAAGTATAACCCTGGCCTCAAAGGTTCAGTTGGTTGGGCTTCGTCCCATGCTCCAAGAGGTTGCCAGTTTGGCTCAATCCCTGGTGTGGGGCATGTGGGAGGCAGGCAACTGATGCTTTGCTCTGATGTCACTGTTTCTCTCTCCCTCTCAAAAAATTAAACAAACAACAACAACAACAAAAAGAAAAGAAAAGAAAGAAGGTAGAAATAAGCTGATCACAAACTAGTTACTTTTTGAATTTTTATCTGGTTGAGTTCTCCATGGATATTCAGTGTGACGATGAGCCAATGCATGGATCAGTTCTTCAGAAACAGTATACTAGAACAATTGAAGGAGTACCTAGTAGATAGTTAAACCATTTTTGACCACTATCATGTTTTAAGTGCAGCTTGTGGGGCACTTAAAATTGAGATAATTATCTGGTCCATTAACAAACAATCATTGTTGTAACTTTTTAAAAGTAAAATAGTTTTTAATTTACTTGACAATAACTACAACATTCCAACTTTTCAGTTTTGACTAGAAAGGTCAGGAATTGCTTTTCTACAGAGGTAATACTTAGATTTGGAAAGTAGGTTTGATAAGTCTAAGGAACTTAGTAGAGGTAAAAGTATAGGGAGAATTATGGGTTAACTCTAGGGACTGAGTAACTTTAATACAGTTTAACTTTGCTTCTAGAAAGTTTATTAATTAAACAATGTAAAGACTAAGATTTTATAGCATTTTAGAGCTGCCTTATAAAAAGATGTAGAGGATTTTAGGCAGGCAGTGATGATTGCTATTATTGAGTACCAGTACCTTTCAAATTAGAGGTAATGTTGAAGTCCCTCATTCTATTTAAGATCTGAGTAGTTTTTTATTGTGCCAAACCCATCTGCTACAATCTAAGCTAAGCTGAATATCTTACATTTACTTGTTGAAAAAACAGATATTGGAGTAAGCATTAACTAGGCAAATTTCTCACCATCTGTGGAAAAACACTTTCACTGATGATCATTTAGTCATACAGTCCTACCATATGATGGGTGGAGAGCACAGCCTTTTGGTTGGGATAAACTGCTAAATTTTTAAGCCAGAGACAATTACCATTAAGATACATGCAAGTTGCATTTTAAACTGGGTTTTCAAAGAAACTTTACTTCTTACTTATTCATTATTTTTAATGAAGAAGCTATATGTGAAAGGTAAATGATATAAAATTAATGTTGAAATGTTTTTTCTTCTTTTTAGATCAACGAACAAAAAATTGAACAGAGAAAGTGCTGAAATAGGAGTTACGGATGCGTGTGATTTGCTGGATGAAATATAACCAGTTAATTTTTGTAGCGTGGAGAGAAAGCCCAAATTGCCATATTACATGTGTAAATCACTGCGTTATTGCTTTAGTCATTGTCTCTATTTAGCAATGACAAGACTGGAAGAAGTAAACAGAGAAGTGAACATGCATTCTTCAGTGCGTTATCTTGGCTATTTAGCCAGAATCAATTTACTGGTTGCTATATGTTTAGGTCTTTACGTAAGATGGGAAAAAACAGCAAACTCCTTACTTTTGGTAATTTTTATTCTTGGTCTTTTTGTTCTTGGAATTGCCAGCATCCTCTATTATTATTTTTCAATGGAAGCAGCAAGTTTAAGTCTCTCCAATCTTTGGTTTGGATTTTTGCTCGGCCTCCTATGTTTTCTTGATAATTCATTCTTTAAAAATGATGTGAAAGAAGAATCAACCAAATATTTGCTTCTGACTTCTATAGTATTAAGGATATTATGTGCTTTGGTGGAGAGAATTTCTGGTTATGTCCGTCATCGGCCCACTCTACTAACCACAGTTGAATTTCTGGAACTTGTTGGATTTGCCATTGCCAGCACAACTATGTTGGTGGAGAAGTTTCTCAGTGTCATTTTACTTGTTGTAGCTTTGGCCATGCTGATTATTGACTTAAGAATGAAGTCTTTTCTAGCTATTTCAAACTTAGTTATTTTTGTAGTCTTATTGTTTTTCTCCTCATTGGAAACTCCCAAAAATCCAGTTGCTTTTGCATGTTTTTTTATTTGCCTGATAACTGATCCTTTCCTTGACATTTATTTTAGTGGACTTTCAGTGACTGAGAGGTGGAAACCTTTTTTGTACCGTGGAAGAATTTGCAGAAGATTTTCAATTGTTTTCACTGGCATGATTGAACTTACATTTTTTATTCTTTCAGCATTTAAACTTAGGGACACTCATCTCTGGTATTTTGTAATACCAGGTTTTTCCATTTTTGGTATTTTCTGGATGATTTGTCATATTATATTTCTTTTAACTCTTTGGGGATTTCATACCAAATTAAATGACTGTCATAAAGTATATTTTACCCACAGAGTAGATAACAACAGCCTTGACAGAATTATGGCATCCAAAGGGATGCGCCATTTTTGCTTAATTTCAGAGCAGTTAGTTTTTTTCAGTCTTCTTGCCACAGCTATTTTGGGAGCAGTTTCCTGGCAGGTAAGCTTATAGTTTGTTTATTATGTCACTGCCTGTGATGTGTGATTAAATGCTTGTTTCAAGTGTTGAATTGTTAGAATTGAAAGGTCAAGTTCCTGATTTCAAAAGGAGATTTTTTTTGGCACTTAATTTTATTCGTGGAATTAAAGTACTGCTGAATGAACATTGATAGGATAATTTAGTTTGATCTCTAGCAAAGAGGCACCAAAATGTTAGGAATACTCAACCTGTGATATGCCTCCCACCTTTTGCTTGTTCATTAATGAAGCTCTCCTAGATTAAAAATTCTTAGAATATTAACATTTGAAGGGTACATAGAGAGATTGTTCTTTAATTCTTTCATTTTGATATATGAGGAAACTGAAAGCCAGAGAAGACTTATATCCAGAGTCACTTGGTAATAGCCAGTACCAGTTTACCTGGCCTTTGTTTTTAAAGAAGGCACAGTCTCTAATGGGATGGGGAATAGACAGGCATGTGAACAAACAATTATTACAGTGACAAATTCTATAATTTCAATTCATCAGATTGGGATGTAGGGCATAAAGAAAGGTCAACTCTGGTTGGTGCAGTTCTCTGCTTTGCACTAGTTAGTTACTGCAGGATGATTCTAGATGTATTTGAAGAGAGATGTGAAGATTTACCTGGGTATGGTTCTTCTTAGTCAATGTAGAGAGCCTGTGTGGGAGTTAGCCAAATGATGTAAACATCGTGGGTGTTGCCTGAATATATCTTCCTCACTTTACTTGCCAGTGCTAGAGATTGTCAGGATGGTGATGGTGATGGTGATGGTGATGACAGTGATGATGGATAATGTGAGAAACTCCAGCAAGACTTCTCCTTCCCCTTCCTCACCTCTCAGAGTTTACTACCTCTGCTTTCTTCTAGGAGTTTAATGGGTTTTAGGTATTAATTTCAGTCTTTATTCTGAGTTTATTTTTGTATGTGGTATAAGAAAGTGGTCCAGTTTTATTTTTTAGCGTGAATCTGTCTTTTTCCTACTGCATATTGTTGCTTTATTTTTGTTGTAGACTAATTCATCATATAAGTATGAGTTAATTTTTGGCTTTTCTATTCTGTTTTGTTGTGCCATATCATACTGTTTTGTAGTATAGCTTGAAATCAGAGAGAGTGATACTTCCAGTTATGTTCTTCTTTATCAATTGGGGACTTTTATGGTTCCATATAAATTTTAGGATTATTGTTCATTGAATCTGTTGATTGCTTGGGTAGTAAGGATATTTGAATGATATTAATTCTTCCAATCCATGAGCATGGTATATTCTTCCATTTGTGTTGTCTTCATTTTCTTCCTTCAGTGTTTTATTGTTTTCAAAGTCTAGGTCTTTTGCCTCCTTTGTTAAATTTATTCCTAGACATTTTTTGGTTTCATTTTGGATGCAGTTGTAAATGGATTTTTTTTCTTAATTTTTCTTTCTGGTAATTCATTGTTGATGTATAGAAATGCCACTGATTTCTATATATAAATTTCGTATGCTGCAACTTTACCAAATATATTTACTGTGATAGTTTTTTGGTGGAAGCTTTGAGTTTTCTACATATAAAATCATGTCATCTGTGAATAGTGACAGTTTTACCTCTTCCTTTCCACTTTGGGTGCTTTTTATTTTATCTTATTGTCTGATTGCTGTGGCTAGGACTTTCAATAGTATGTTGAACAAAATTACTGTGAGCAGGCATTCTTATCTTTCTGATTTTAGGGGGAAAGCTTTTAGCTTTTCACCATTGAGGTGATTCTAGCTGTGGGTTTGTCATATATGACCTTTATTATGTTGAGATATGTTCCCTGTATTCTACTTTGTTGAAATCTAATCAGGTGTTGAATTCTGTAAAATGCATCTGTTGAAATGATCATATGATTTTTATCCTTTCTTTTGTTAATGTGTTGTTATATTGTATTGGTTGGTATGCAGATATTGAACCATTAGTATGTTGAATTTGATTTGCTAATATTTGAGAATTTTTCCATCTATGTTCATCAGGGATATTGGGCTGATATTTGTTATTATGTAGTCTTTGTATTGTTGATATCAAGGTAATGCTGACCTCATAGAATGAGTTCGGAAGTATTCCTCCCTTTTCAATTTCTGTAATATTTTGAGAAGGATAGTTATTAGTTTTCTTTAAATATATAGTATAATTCTCCACTGAAGCCATCTGGTCCTGGACTTTAATTTGTTGGAAGTTTTTTTTTTTTTCCATTGATATTAGAGAGGAAGGGAGAGAAAGATAAAAACATCGATGAGAGAGAACATCGACTGGCAGCCTACTGCATGCCTTCCACTGGAGATTTGGCCCACAGCTTGTGCATGTGTCCTGACCAATGATCTCTTGGGGCATGGGTCGATGCTCAACCACTGAGCCACACCAGCTGGGTAGTTTTTATTTTTATTATTAATTTACTTCTGTTACAGATATTTCACATTTCCTTCCCCAGAAACCCTCTTCCCTATCCCGCCCCCCACCAAGCATTGTTGTCTATGTCCACTGGTTAGGCATACATGCATATACGTCCTTTGGTTTATCTCATCCCTCCCCCCGCCCCGCTCCTCTAGGCTAGTCATTCTGAACCATACTCTTTTCTAGATCCCCAGGTCTGTCACAAATAAGTGAGATCATGTGGTATTTGCCTTTCTCGATTGGCTTATTTTGTTTAGCATAATACTGTCCAGGCCCCTCCATGTCGTCTCAAAGAATACGAGATCTTTCTTTCTTACAGCTGCATAATGTTTTATTGTGTATATTTATCACAGCTTTTTTATCCACTTATCTGTTGATGGACACTTGAACTCTTTCCAGATCTTAGCAATTGTATAAATAGTGCTGCTGTTAACATAGGGGTACCTATATCCGTTCTGATTGGTATTTCAGGCTTCTTAGGATATATTCCTAGAACTGGATTCACTGGGTCAAATGGCAGTTCAATTATTAATTTTATGAGGAAACACCATATTGTTTGCCATAGTGGCTGCAGCAGTCTTCATTCTCACTAGCAATGTACTAGAGTTCCCTTTTCTCCACACCCTTGCCAGCACTTATTGTTTGATGATTTGTTGATGGCAGCCATTCTGGCACGTATGAGGTAATACATCATAGTTGCTTTAATTTGCATCTCTCTGATGATTAGTGACATTGAGCATTTTTTCATATGTCTCTTGGCCATTTGTATGTCCTGTTTGGAGAGGTGTCTCTGCCCATTTTTTAATTGGGTTCTTTGTCTTCCTTTTGTTAAGTTGTATGAGTACTCTATATATTTTGGAAATTAACCCCTTATCTGATGTATCATTGGCAATTATGCTCTCTCATATAGTGGGTTTCCTTTCCATTTTGATGGATCTCTTTTATATTTTCTTTCTGTCTAATTGCTGTAGCTAAGACTTCCAGTACTGTGTTAAAGACTGGCAAAAGTGGACATCCCTGTCTTGTTCCTGTTCTTCAGGGAAATGCTTTTAGTTTTTGCCCATTGCGTATGATGTTGGCTATAGGTTTTTCATATATGGCATTTATTATATCGAGATATGAATCCTTTATTCCCACAGTGCTGAGTGTTTTTATCAGAAATGAGTGCTGGATTTTGTTGAATGCTTTTTCAGTGTCTATTGATATGATCATATGGTTTTTATCTTTAATTTTGTTTATGTGGTGTATCACATTTATTGATTTGAGAATATTGTACCAGCCTTGCATCCCTGTGATGAATCCCATTTGGTCATGGTGAATAATTTTTTTAATGTATCGCTGGATCCGATTTGCTAATTTTTTTTTATTTTGAGAATTTTTGTGAGTTTATTTGAGCTAAACTGACGACAATTGCCAGGAAGCAAAACTGTAAAGGATTGAGAAAATGCTCTGGAAAATGGCAGTTCTGTACCCTACTTTATACATTACAATCAAAAGAGAAGATGTAAGTGCGTTACATGAAATCCATTGGTGTAGATTAGAGAGATGGGAGAAAGCAAGGGCAGGGAGACCTCTGAGATTAGATAAAAAGTAAAATGATAGACACATCCTCCTTTTACAGATGTGGGTGTAGGATAATTTATAGTCAACAATTAACACAGTAAAAAAAACAATGAGGGGATTTGTGGTCTCCCTCTGGTGTGTGGGATCCCAAAATAGGAAATCACTTTACAGTCCAAAGGTATATTATCCTGGATGCAAAAAGACAGCAGACAGGCTCAACTAAAGTAAAGATTGACTTTTATCAGGGAAGATTTCAGCCTAGGATATGATTACCCACCATAAACTGCTTTTAGTTAAAATTTTTCATTTCAGACCATCCTTTGTAGTTACTTAGGTCTCTGAGTTTGTAAGGCCGCCACACAGGCTTTGCCTGAGCTTGTCAATATTTTTTGTATTCTTTTTATTAATTTATTTTTGCTACAGATGTTTCTCTTTTTTCCCCCATTGACACCCTCGTCCCCATCCCCCCCACCCCATCCCCAGCTTTGGTGTCCATGTCCATTGGTAATGCATACATGCATATAAGTTCTGTGGTTTATCATTTCCCCCTCAATGCAACCTCTTGAGGTTTGTCAGTCTGTACTCTACCACTATGTCTCTGGGTCAATTTTGTTCATCATTTTGTTTAGTTCATTATATTCCACAAATAAGTGAGATCATGTAATATTTGTCTTTCTCTGCCTGGCTTGTTTCGCTTAGCATAATTCTCTCCAGGTTCTTCCATGTCATCTCAAAGGATAAGAGAGCTTTCTTTCTTACAGCTACATAGTGTTCCATTGTGTACATGTACCACAGCTTTTTTATCCATTCGTCTACCGATGGACATTTGGGCTGTTTCCAGATATTAGCTATTATAAATAGTGCTGCTACAAACATAGGGGTACATATATTTTTTCAGATTGGTTTTTCAGGCTTCTTAGAGTATATTTCTAGAAGTGGGATCACTGGGTAAAATGGCAATTCAATTTTTAATTTTTTGAGGTAACACCATAGTGTTTTCCATAGTGGCTGCACCA